TCGATCAGCAACTGCTGCCAATTTGTGAGGAATACAAAGGCCACCTTAATTCTCCTGATTCTTTCTTTTTTTTTTTTTTGAGAAGAATGACTTCTTCTCAAAGGCCATTAATTTGAATATAGGAAATTGCTTCTTTCGACAAAACTAGGGAGCCGGATCTGCTACCCACCATACATTACAGCTGCGCAATGGAAATATCTCCCATGTCATTCATTCATGGGGAGATATTCCCAATACAGGGTGGTGGTATTCTGTAGGTAGAAATGTGGGTAGAAGGGTTGCCACCTAACCTTTCCACACTCACCAAGCTTCCGATATGCTGATCACAAAATACTGGTTGCATTCTGGTAACAACAAAGTACAACTGAGGAGCACTGCCCCAGGCCCCATGAATAACCTAAATAACGTGAGATATTTGACTGTAGGATCATGTGGTCAATATTTTGTGATCAGCAGATGAGGACAGCTGCATGCATGTCATGTATATCATTATACGAGGATATAAAATTCGTGGGCTGTGGAACTAACGATGAGATTTCAAACCAGTGATAAATTCAGGGGACCCATTTGAGTCCCATATATTTAAATGCTGGCATTGACCCTTATCATTGATTCTACAGCCGCTGAACAGCTAAAGCCTACTCTACAGGATCCTCTGAACTCAAAAAACCCTACACACTGGAAGTATCTCCCCATGATTTCATGTACATGTATAGCATATAGCAGATATTCATGCTGTGGCTGTGGCTGGATGTCGTGTGCACAGATTTTGCTTTCAGGAGATCCAGACTCGTAGTGTGAATCCCTACGGAAAAGAGACAAAGTGGAAAGCATTGCAAATAGATTGGATTCAAGTCAATCAACACCTAGATCCATATTCAGTATGCTAAATCCATGATTCAATTCAGTAGCTTAGATGGCTATTTGGTATCCCTCCGAATTTGGAAAGACGGGATTAAATCCATTAACTGCAGGTTCTTCATGATAAGGTTAATGGATTTCGTGTGCACTTTACTTTGTCCCCGACTTGTTAATCACCTTATAATGTATAATTACTAATAAAATGATGTATTAACATTGTGATTCAAATTTATTTTCCCCAGACAAGTGCTAGCCTCAATTTCAAGAAGCGTTTTCATAAAAAAAACATCAATATAGAATTAGAAAATACATAACAAAATATATGGCTTTCTTCTTGTTAGTGCCATTCTGGATGGTACTAGCTCTGTAGGCTTTTTTTTTTTTTATGTCATCTGGTACAGTTTTTATTATTACGTGATTCTAAAAACTGATTTACCATGTTGAAGTATAAAAAGTCATTTAGGCTGCATTTGGCATTAAAAAGGAGATAAACCCTTTAAATAAGGAATGCCAAATGCAGTATTAATCTCTTATCCAACAGATGGATTTCAGTCATATATGGCATTTGTGGAATAATTGTTTTGACCATTAGGTTTTCTTTTTTATTGCAGATGATTTTGAATTCTCAAAATAGTGATGGATCAATCACGTGGTACTTGCGTTCATCTATATGATACAGGAAGAGCTAGCTTTGAGTCTTTGACCAATCAAACCCTTCCGAATCGCAGATGCTTAGACAAAGAAATTTGAAGGGCATTTTCTTAAGCACCAAAATATATTGGCATTATGGTCCATTAATTGACTCAACATGGAGTTGCCCATAACGCATTTCATATTGAGGAGGCACGGATTCAAAGTGTAGAAAGGCAATCTCTCTCCATCTCCATGATGTGTGTCAATGGGCCTAGCTAGTGTGCATCGATCTTGTGATGATCCCATTAACCAACTTAGTAAGTCCAGGTCCAGTGTATAGCACCTGGCCACTAAGGGGCAAAAGCGGCATCACGAACACCAAGCAAATTAAAATCATAACATATTGGCATGCATAGTTAACAAAATCGTTCCGCTCTAATCTTTGGACTCTTGGAAAGCCCTGGCTCTGGCTCATATAGAAGGTACATGTTGCCTACTGCTTCTACCTTTCGAGACTGTTTTCGATCACTTAGTCGGTTAGTCCATTACATTCAATGCAATTAATGCAGTGACACTCCCCCCTCACAACCAAGACAACAAAGCAAGATTCAAAATATCGATACATTCAACACCGGCCTGTATCGGTGTTTTTTCTCTTTATTTTATTATTTTTTTTTTAAATCTGATTCGGAGGGGTTGATTTAAGCCTTTAAGGCCAGCATATCGGAAAGGGCTCGATATGATATACATATCAGTTGATACAGCGCAATATGTATCAAAATTTTAAACCTTACATCAAAGAAAAAAAAAGAAGCTCTTCCATCCAACATTACACGTCTTCTATGTTCTATCTTTACCTAGACTGGTGTAGGTCCACTCAAACTGAAAAGTCTTGTTGTTTCAAGATTCAAGTTGGAAATTTGGTTAAAAATATGAACCAAATAGAAGTTTTCCATCTATTTGTATTTGTTTGTAACAATGACTTGCATTCTGATACAAAATTGTACTGTCTCATTTGCACTACCTTCCTCCCATCTCAATTATCTCTCATATAAAGTGAGGACTGAGGACCACATTATCTTTCTTCATTCCACTCCGGAATAAATAATCTACCCCTACCACTATTCTCTTTCTTTCATATAATGTAGGGACTACAGATTAATTCATTTTTACTTGTTATGATACTTCTAATAAACAAATAGGACAAAGCCACATTAAATCAGAATTTACACTCAACCTATTTGCAATTTCATACATTACACCAGTTTCATTTCCACTGCAAACTGAACTTGGAAACAAATCAAGTCTCATTTTAGTTTCGTTGACTAGAAAGCCCAGCACAAAGACTTTCAATATGTTTATATTACTGAAGTTTAGATAAGATACTTTTTATTGGATGTCTAGATAAATTAAGTTTTCAATTACAAATTAAACATATTTACACTTAAATTAAACAAAAGATGATGCTTAAGGAGTTACCACTTGTATTGTGGGTGGGTGTCAAACAAAGAAGGTACTCGCCATTGCTAGTCTTATCATTAAAGCAAACGCAATAAGAAGTAAAAAACTTAAATACCCTTTATATATGCCCTGTTTGGCATATCTTTCTACGTGTTGTTGGCTATTTACAAGTTCGGCAATCCATGGGGGAAGATTTAGCCACCAAAAGACTATACTCCAAAAAGACGTAAGAAGTTCGATTAAAGCTTATTTCAGTAAACTAGAAATGGAACTTTTTGTTTTTTTTTTTCATCTCGTCTTTATACGAAAAGATGCACCTCCAATTAAACGGTCTATGGACTGTCAATATCTCTTTTGTAAAAACCCACTATGTGTTTTAGCTATCAGATCTTCCAGAAAATCTTTTAAAAAATACTTGCCAAACGGCACTATAATAAAGCCCAAACACAACAGACATGTATTAAATCATGATAGATTATACTTATATATTCAAGGATGAGTATATTTATTATTTCTTCATTATGCAAGTATTTAACATTTGCATAGGTATGGGTCCTGATTATAAAACCAGACTAAATAGAGAATTGCTTTTGAAAAGATCAGTCTTAATATCCCATTGCCGTTTCTCCATTGCAATGGTGTAGTGTTTTCTCAGATAACAGCAATGGTTGGAGGTGTTAGACTCTATTGCACTTTCTGAAAAAATAGCGCCATGTTGGAGCCACATCCGCAATCATTCCTTGCAACATTTGGAGAAAGCAAGGAACATCAAAATGTAATTTTCAGAAATGGCACTAATTTTTGAGAATCGATGCACATGTATTTTGAGTTCAAATCAGCTCCCCACACAGTACATCTCCGCCGTGTATCGAAAACATCTCCCGATGATGAAATCWTCATATCTGATATTATCATCAGGAAATATTTTCAATACATGGCAAAGATATATTGTGGGATGTTGTGGGGGGGCTGATTTGATCTCGTGTATTTTGCCGGCTTGCTGCCAACCAAACCATAGATTGTAATGCATATTTTGCCGTTTTTTATAATATCTAATGCGACTCTGGCAAAGCGCCGTTTTCTCCAATAATCCAATGGAATCAAACACCTCCCAAGTTTGGTTGAAGACTTGAAGTAATTGATTTGTAAACTCTGATTCTAAGAGGGTGTTTGGCGTAATGGTTGTGTTGCAATTGTGTTTTGGATTGATCAATACAAGTGAAATATGTATTACCACATCATATGCAAGAAAAATGCATATTATATATATATATATATATATATATATATATATATCAAATTCGATGTTTTAAATAAAAATATCAATTTGCATTGATCGAACTCACAGTGCTCAAAACATTTCAAGTAAAAAAATCTAACCCAAATCGCACATGAGCGATGCAATACCACTTTACCAAACACCTAAATTGGTTAGGTCAGATGATTCCCCAAATCGTATGAAAAATTCAATTTGGCCATTTCCTCTAAAATCAGTTGGGGGAATCAATCAGTTCTGATTTCTAGCAACTTAGAATTATGCAGAAGCCTTAGGAGACAGTTGATTTCGGACAATAACACTGACATGTGTATGGCAATAATGCGCAAACCAATAATGTTGCGAAGTTTTGTACATCAATAGCCTCGTTTATACCAAACCAGTGATTCTCCAATCCCCTCAAAATCACTGATTCATGAGAAAAAGATTTTTGATAAATCGAGTCTCATAACCAAATTACACACAATAGAAGCAGCAAGTGAAAATCCCTACATTTTCTTACTAAAGGTGAATTCGATTAGTGCATTTATGTGAAATTTTCGTAGCATTCGCCAAATCCAGTCAGCCAAAAGGATCACCGAGTCCTAGATTGGTGCATCATTCCTTTAGAAATTAGAATTGTTTACTTTTTTTTCCCCCCTTCTGGTAATTGGAGATTCTATTAAGCCAATTCTGTTAAACAATGGATTACTTTTTCGAGGGCTAGTTTTGGTAGTCTAAAATCCTATATAGTATTTCAGCAAAAAATAATCCATATAACAAATTAGAATAAATATAAGTTCTGAAGCAATGCATGCATATAAGAAAGAAGGCTCACTCAGGATATCAACAAAAGAGTCGAATCCCAAATATCAAAGACCAACCACTCAAACTAGTTAGAAAGAAGTCAAAAGAGAAAGGAAATATAAACAATGGAAAAAGATAGAAGACTCGCAACTTCCTTCAGGCACACATTATTCAAAATCACCCCTAGAGGGAAGAGCTCTCAAACCTGAGAAAAATAGAGGAACCAAGAAGATGAAACAGTGATCTAACAAGTGCATTTTTGGCCTTCGATTCAGAAACCCACTTGAGGAATTCAACCATCTGCGTGCGGTCAAGAGAAAAGTTCGAGCTTTCAAGAGCATAAGGAAGACGTGGAAAATCAAGAATAAATAAGCAAAAAAAAAAAAAAATTATTTGAAGTTGAAGGGGAGTCAAATTACCATTTTGGGTTCGGGAGTTGGAGACTGCGAAGTCAGAAGATGGCATGGGAATGGAAATCGAGAGCTGGGTTGTAGAGAATGAGGACCGGTTCGACCGGTTGTCTTCCAAATCGAGCCATGAATCTCTACTCTTTGGTGGCCACTCGTCGAAGAAGTGACGCAGAGGTTGCTGAGGTTCCTCTTCTTTCTCCAACTTCAGTGGCCTTTCGGATTTGAAATCCGTGCCCAGGACGAAGCAATGCTGCTCCTGTTGATGCTTTTGTTGTTTAGAGATGTCTGTAAGGCTTTGCAACTGCAACTGAGAGTAGCAACCTTGTAAACCAGAGCTATTTCTCTGTTTCGATTGATCTAGTGGCGTAAATCGCCACGAATTATCAAGTGATGATGAATCCGGTGCACTCCTGGTAGTCCCTGAAGCTTCTGAAAAGAATGCACGTTCATCCACTTCCCCCTTCAACCCATTAAAATACCTGCTTTTCTTAATGCAAATTGCAGAGAGAGGAAAATCACAACCGGTTATTTGGTTTTCAAAAGAAAAGGCGTAGTTTTGTAGCATTTGTTTCAAGCAAAATATACGAACCTGTAATCTTTGTTGCCCTGCTGAGAGTAAGATCCAGAGTCCAAGAGCAAATGGGTAGAGTTGTTTTGATGTAAGAATCCAATGCCAGGGGGTCTAGAAGAGGAGGAATGGGGATAGAGTAAAGGGTGAAGTGAAGTGTTATAATAAGAGTGGTGTTGGTGATGGGCGTCAGCAGCAGCTACTTGTGAAGAAAGGGAGTAAGAAGAGGCGGTTGTGTTGGTGTTGGTTGTAATGGTGGAGGGGTTTCTGGATAGCGATGAGATTGTTGTAGAGGGGTTTGCTGTAATAACTTCCACAGGCTTTCTTGAACGGTTTCTGCCTCTGTGCATGTGTCTCTCACAGTACTTTGAATCTGGGAATGCTTCTTTCGAGCACCTCCATTTCTTTCCATCTGTTCTTCTGCATCTCCCTGGCTCTGGGTCTGGTTTTCTGCCAAAACCCATCTGAAAACAGCCCCATCCAACTGCAACAACAGATATGCAGACCCCAAACTTACCAAAAATAAATAAGTAAAAACAAAGAGCGACTTAAAAAAAGTAAAATGGAAAAACAAAAAAGCTCCTGCAAGTTGAAAGAAAGAAAAAGTAGTAGTAGTCTGTGTTTGCTTACTGGGTTGGTGAGGGAAGAGCCTCGAAGAGATTGAAGCGTCCAGACTTCTTTTGATAGGGAAGATGAGTTCAGGTGGGACGGGAACTCCTGACACCATGTATTTGAAGATGAGAGCTTGATGTTCAAGCTCTTGCCACTGTGATGCAGTGAACGGAGACCCGTTTCTCGCACTCATCATTAAAAGAACAAAAACCCCAGAAGTCTAAGAAGATGAACCAAGTGGAAACAAGAGCTTCAGAGACAGAGAAAGAGAGTTTAGGCTGGTTGGTATTTAGGAGGGTCAGAGAGAGAAAGGGAGAGTAGCGGGTGTTGGGGGTATTTATTCAGAGTCTATTGGTTGCAGAATCTTCTGTGCATGGATAAACTAATGGCTCTGATGATACTTCTGCCACCTCCCCTGAGTCTGCTCTTATTATGACTGCAACTCTGTTGCTTCTGCTTCTGCGTTTCTGCCTTTGTTGCTGTTCTTGTCTCTGCCATCTTTACGGAAATCTATAAACAAAAGGGAGGGGAGAGAGGGAGGATTAAAAGATAGTGATAGACGATAAAAATTATTATTATTCTGGAGCTTTTTTTTATGGGCGTTATTTATACGAGAGATGGAGTCTGAGACTCTGCGTGTCATGGCGTAGAAGGGAGGGGGGGCTGAACCCTGGGGCCTGCCTGAGGCCTGAGAAGATTGTACGGTTTACCCTTTTCCTACTTTTCTCTTTTACTTTTTTTTGTCTTTTTTTAGCAATGCTAACCATACAAAGTTCCTTTTTTTTTTTTTTTCTAGTATGCTTTAATATCATCTTACACCACACATCTGCAACATTGTGTCATTTCAAGTTGGTCCCTCAACTATAGTACATGTGGGTGCCACACACAAATGTTGCAGATGTATGGTATGGATGTTTTATAACACAAACTAAAAAAAAACAATTTGCATGCATAATATTTTAGTTTCTTTAATACCTCATGACACCTACATTTAAAATTTTGACTTTTTCAGTTTTGGAAATCGGGAGACTCAGAGGAGGTTTTAGTTGGAGTCTGAGAGCCGGAGGCCCTCTAAGTCTTAAGTCTGTGTTTCTGTCTGTCTTTCTAATAAATCATTCAAAGCAAAATCAGTGTTGCTTCCACGCAAAACTCTAAACTGTTTGTGATAACCAACTTCATAAACTGATTAATACTCCAACTTTTTATCTGTTTGTGGATTTATCAGCTGGTTGCCTTTGCCCTTCACACAATGTATAATGAATGAATTACCCTCTAGGCTCTAGCTGTGAAGGTGAATGTAAATAAAACTTCTAAGACCTAGGAGCCATAAAAGACAGAAACATGAGTGATGATGCATGGGCTGTTTAGTAATGGTAATTGTAGAAGAAGGGGGGGCATAACAGGAATTGTGATGAGGATTATTCATTATTGGGCTGAAAAGAGGAGGCTTTGTTTCGTTTTGTTTGGTTTCAATTAAAGTCTCCCTGCAAACCCCATTGTTGAGAGGTGTCAGGATGGCAGATGTTGTAAGAGAAGTGCAGTCTTAACGCTGTTAACACTTTCTGGCTCACACACATGGACTTCTCCTTTTTTTAGTACCACGACCACTTACTACATTAAAAACCAAAGCTTTCCTCAATTTCATTTCATTTCAAGCATCCCTCCCCTTCTCTTTTTTTTTTGAATTTCTTTTCCTTTACTGGTCATGTATGTATGTTGCTATGTCCCCCCCCTCTCTCCTCTTCTTATTAGATGCATTTAGTTGTTCAGAATGTACGTACCTACCCTTATTTAAATTTCACTGACTTCCACTTCAAAACCTCCTCCCCTCACCCTCCCTCTCCCTTTCATTCTATGGGGTCCTGACTCCTGATATATTCGGATCTGGATATGGGTTTGGCCCAACCTACTCCAGACCCAGATCTGACACTTTTCATTACCCAACCCTCAGTTGAGTTTGAGTAATGTAAGTATGTAACCTGAAACTGAAACCCCTCAGAGTTTAGACACTTGGATTGGAAATTTGGAAGCAACTCCGTGATTGCTTTCAATTTTTTGATCGGTGTGTGTAAGTGGATTATGGATACCCAATAACCCAAGTCCGTATATCAGTGTCCGCAGGCCCGCACAAATGCAATAATGTGGACACGCGTCGCTGTATTATTGTAGCAAGTTCGACAGAAATGAAGTGGCTAGGGAGGGAGGGCGGTTGATGTTGTTGTTTTTTGTTTGACCTACTAGGCGTAGGCTTAGGCTCTAGCAGGGCCTAGGGACGGACGAGATCGGAGATTGTTTGTGTCAGAATTCAGATGGGTGGGGGTGTTGGGGGGAATTTCACATCTAATCGGTTCGGGTGCACGAACCGATTCCCGATGCTCAAATCAGTTGGGGTTTGTGATGTCTCTTTCCATCTTCCCAGTTACACTTAACACTTGTGTTGGGATCTAAGGCACAAAACAGAAAGCAGTGCCAATGGCGCAGGAGGCCGACCTAACCACCCACAGCCCTGACCCGCAAGTGAAAAAATTTAAAAAAAGAAAAAAAAAATAGAAGGAGATGGGTTGAGTGGGTGTGTGGGACCCAACCCCAACAGAGATGATATTTGATACCAGGACTTTTTCAATTTTTTTAGTTTGACTCTCAGTCACAGAACTAGCTGAAGTGAAGTGAGAAGAGCATGTTGTCCTTAGAATAGGCTAAGATCACTATAATTCCAGATCCCACCCCCCCAGATCACCTGATGAGTACTGATTCTGATCCCATGGCATGGCATGGCATGGCATGGCATGGCATGGCGCTATCTATTACTCTATAGGACCCTGTACCAAGCAATAAACATAGTCATTGTTTTGAACCCATGGAGATATCTAATTTATAGCTGTACGATTTTTGAACTTTGGGCCAGACGATGATCAAAGTTTGCAATGCTTTATGCCTTCATGGTGGTGGCTGGTGGGTGCGGGGTGCCCGTGCTCCAATCAAATCATATGCATATCCAAATCCATGAGCAGCAGTTCAGCCAATGTTCGAGCTTTTGCGTGAACCAGTCAGTCCAGTTTATGAGATCTACTCTACAGACGCCAGACGAGCGGCCAAATACAGCGTCTTACCTTCATTAAAAGTATGTTGAACTTTCTGCCTCTGCGATTTTGAGAATTACATTGAAGCAAATATATATATATATATATTGGCTTTCTCTGAGACAGTCCTCACAGTGACAGATTTTTTTATTTTTCTATTCTAACATATATACAATGGTCAAACCAAGAATTAGCCAGGTCCAGCTTTATTTGGGTTTGAATCTGCCATCCACCGACTTACGCCCCAAAAACGTCCCATACCATTAAAAAACGCCGCGTGTCCTCCCACACGCAAGCGCCTCAACCTCGTGCGGAGCTAATGGGACGGCTGTTAGCTCGTCCCGTTAGCTCCCATTTTCAGTGATTTCGCCCAAAAAAGTGAATTTCACTCCTATCGACCTGCCCTCTGAAACTCAGACCGCCCCATCTCCTCCTTCGCCGGATCTTGCCAAAAAATCCGACGCCACGATCATTCCTGCAGATACACCAGAACTCTCCATCCCTCTCATCTCAGATATTCTTAGATATGTTTTTCTTTAGTTTTTTAGCTGTTTTGCAATAGAAAAAACGCAAAAGGGAAGAATCGCCGATAGGTATTTTCGAATCTGTAATAATCCTCTCTAAATTCACTGATTTGAGTTTAACCATGGAGTGTCTCCAGCTGGGCTGATACGCAGTGCAAAGATAAGAGCAAAATCCATGGTTATTTGAAGAATGAATATGGCGTTAATTAAAACCATAAAAATTGTGTGGGCCAGACAATGCACAATCGTTTCCGTGATCAGAGGGCTGGCGCTGAAGACCTCATAAACAAGTGATGTGTTTCTGTGCTTTAAAGGGAAATCAAGCAGTTGGTTTGTCGAACTAAAAGTCTCATAATCAAGACAAAGAGCTTTCTGGGGATGACATAAAAAGACATCGCTGTCGTCGTTTCAAGCCTTTAAGTCCTAACCAGAGCCAGCACCTGTATCTTCTTCCCTTCTGCGTTTTTTTTTTGAAGGTTAAAAAAACTGAGAAAAACATATTCAAGAATATCTGAGATGAGAGGGACGGGGAGTATATACCCCCGGTGTATCTACCGGAATGATCGTCGGCGTTGGATTTCTTGACAAGATCCGGCGGGGGAGGAGATGCCGTGGTCTGAGTTTCATTAGCTCCGCACGAGACTGAGATGCATGCGTGTGGGAGGACACGCGGCAACTTCTAATGGTGTGGGACGATTTTGAGGCGCAAGTCGGTGGGGGGCAGATTCGAACCCGCTTTAACAATGGCCTTTTGACCTTAGAGGACTTCACTCTTCAGTCATCCCCCCTCCTAAACCTGACACAAACATTTAAAAAAAAACAAAGTGAAAAAAAAAGAAAGCCGAATTAGCCTAGATCAAAATTTTATAGTCTCATAGTATAGGGGAATGCATCCTGACCGTGAATTGATGTTAAATTCACGGACATGATGTAGTTTATAGGGGGGAGAGAGTTAATAATAAGGGGACTGGAATTCAGAGTTCTGCATCGGATGTTTCCGTAAAAAAGCCCCCATTATCGATAAAGAAGGCCATCCAGGAAGAGATAGATGCCTATAGACGAAATCCATGATTCTACTGAGAATGGTAGCAGCTGCAGATACGAGTAACGTCGAGCTGAGTGAGATGGGAATGATCTTAAAACAGTAAAACACATCTTTCGGGGGGAAAGTGTTTGGAGAAGACAGGCTTCAACCTAATGTAAACCAGCTTAGAACAAATAGAGACAGCACTTTTTGAATTGGGAGTAGCCAAAGCCAAGTAGGTTTGCAAATTTTAGTAGGCACTTGGCTAAGCAGCTGACCTATTGAAATCATGGTTTCATTACTTTATCCTGAACTGAACCAATTGCGGCTGAACCTAAAAGGACAAAAGGCAACTTGTGTCAAGGGCCGCCATCCCAACCCCAAACAGGGCCTAACAAATGCCCCTACGTTTTATGCTTTATGCTGTGAAGTGTCAAGTGCGAACAACTTGGATTAAGATAATGGGCAGGAAGTTTGTTTGTGCTAAGAGCCTAAGACAAAGTATTTGGAGAATCCAGGAAAGAAATCACCTGACCTGTGCTGTATATCATAAAGATGGAAGGGAAGCAAAGCTGATAGAGCAAACTTTCCAGGAATACGGCACTTTTGATGAAAGGATATGACATTGACGTGTTGGGTCAGTCAGATTTCTGGTGTGGACTGAACTATTAAAACCCCCAAGGTATTTGGCATGTTGGTCACTGGTCAAGCTCTTTATCAATTGATGTTTGAGACTATTAATGTGGAGGAAGTATGTAGAACAGACAACAGAGTGAGAACTTTTTCTTTTTTTTTGGTTTTCTGGGGTACTTGCCTCAGAGTAAAGAGGAAAGAGCTGCGCATAATG